ATTTCTAACTTTAAGGAATTTTTCGATGAAATGAAAACTGTAATAAATTATATATTACTTGCAAACCGAAATTCCGTTGGGCTGTTTTCAGATCTTCGTGCAATAAGAGTTAGAGACCAAACTGGTCGGTGCAAAGAACTGAATAAAAAGAGGTATATTTTGCAATTGGGTTAAAAACCAAACTTTATTAATTCCATGAAACTTACTTTTAAATTACAAGGAAGTAACTTCACGAGATAAAGTGGTTAATGTGTAAATTGACACCTCCACTGGATAACAGTCCTAAGCATACGAGCAGCAAGAAAATTTTACCTGCAGGTCAACCACAGTTCTACAGTTCTAATATTAACACATAGAAAAATTATATCTATTATTAAGAGGAACGAAAAATTACAAATTATCAATTTGACGCAGTTATTGCAAAACTATTTGTCCGAAGACTTTGCAACGCTTTGTATATCAACCTTTCTTCCATTTCTTGTATTTCTTTATAATACCTTCATTTTCTTCATTTTATATATTAACACGTCTCATATATACATCTCTTTCCTTTGAATATGAAATGAGAAAAAAAGCTTACAAATCTTTTTCCAACAATTACTACCATTTCGGCTCTTGTCGTGTTTAATAGCTATAACTATACCGGAGAACACTTATGAATAAGATCTAAAGTTTTGGAATTAGGATTTTGCACAGTATATCACGTAGGAATATGGCTTCGTGTCAGGGTAAGGTTTATTTTAAAAAACTCAGGTTGCGGCGTAAGCCTAAAATCATTTTAGCAATGTCGAAACTTTTTTGACAGTTTTGATGAGTTTAGCAGTTTCGATGGTTTTGGAAATTTCAATTGAATTCAACGGGCTGTTGCAAAGGATTTTAATGGTTATAAAATTTTGACGGTTTTAACAGGTTGGACCTAGAGATTGTATCGGACCTAGAATGAAGTTTTAAAATTTAAGAAAAAGTCTCGAATTTTTTTCTCAAATAGATGTTAAATCAGGATTTTCTAATAAAAACAGTTTACACCTTGAAAATTTCATTAAAATTAGAAAATTAGTCGTATGGCCGCAATAAATATAATATGAGACAAAAAATACAAATGGAATTATGTTCTACCGACCGACTATTAAACTTTAAAGCTTAATTTAATTTATAGTAAGAACTTGAAAAACGATGCAAGTCGCTGTTTCCTTTTCCGACTTTTACAAAAAAAGACCCTTACCCGAATTATCAATCGATTACAGGATCTCTAATTATTGTTATATATATATATATATATATTATTTATTTATTTATTTCTAATTAATTAAATAATTAATATCACAATTATTAAAAAGAACTATGAGATTTTAAAGTTTGAGGATTACTCCGTATACTCCATCCTTAATTTAAGGATTATTAATATCGTGTTGCGATGGCAAAGAGCACACATGTGATTGGTTGATTTGATGAGGTAATATTTACCGAATGAAATTCCAAACTTTGATAAATAAAAAAGTCGGTATGGAATAAAGTAGTTCAATTCGGGACATAACAATAATCAAAATTCAAAAAGGATTCACCAATCAGCTCAATCACTCGCTACACGAACGAACTCTGGTTACATTCATTCTTTTTGTGTGTATTAAGGAAGAGGAAATTCCTCGTGAAGATCAATTCGGATTAGGCCAGACACTTATGCATGATATCATTGTATTTCGTCATGGGTATTTTTTTTTTGTTTTTTGATAAAAACGACAACTTTCAGAAAAAACTAAAGGTAAAAGTAAAAAATGTTTTTCGAAATATTGTTGATTTTACTTACAAATTTAATTCTCTACACGATTTACATTAATTACCGCTCAACATCCCTCTCTAGTATCTATTCTAAAATTTCGAAAAATGATACCGTTTCGGTACCTTTACCCGGGCCATTTATGTTGCCTATAATCGGCAATGTTCATCAAATAAAACTACCGATTCACAAACATTTTTCAAAATTATCTGAAAAATATGGTCCAATTTATAAACTTCAAATGGGAATAAAAACTTGGGTGATTATCAATGATGCCAGAATCGTAAAAGATTTATACGTGACAAAAGGAACCATCTATAATTCTAGAGAGGTAAGATTTTTTCAATCGAAATCCGTAAAGTTGGCACAGGTAATTCACACGGTATATGTTTAATTTATATTTTAGAATACGAAAATACTTGGACAAATTTATCTGAGAGGAGGCAAGAATCCTGTCCTTTGTCCCGTAAGTAAATTATCGAAAAAATATTATTAACATGAGTTTTTGTTAATATTATGTATATTATATAAATATATATTTGATTCATAGTATGGAGAATATTGGAAAGCACAGCGCGCTCTTTCACAAGTGGGGCTTCGACTTCATAACATCGATAATCATTATTTTCCCATTATACGTGAGATGACTGATGAAATGATCAAAAAAATTTTGTCATATAATGAAGAGGCTATCAATCCATCGCATGATATTTATTATTATTTGGTAAGAATATTGGTATTATGTGTATTTGGATATAGTTCAAAAGAATTGGGTGAAAAATACATAGATATTGTTAAAGAATCAATTGTTTTATTGGATCCTAAAACATCAATCGTTGATTTTTTTCCCTGGACGGAATGTTTACCTTTTAATCAAAGATATATTAAGTATGCAATGGAAGCAAGAGCACGTGTTGACAAAGTTTCTGAAGAGCTTTTAAATGATTTACAAAAGAGAATGAATGAACCTGGTGGAGAAAAGATTAATTGTTTTGCCGCAGAAGCTCTAAGATCTGTCAAATTTGTTGATATTAACCCTTCCCCTTTTGTTCAAGACTATGGAAAGAAAGATAAAGTGGATGGATTATACCCTGTAGATATTTATGATTTTAATTATCTTAATAGCTCTTTTATGATTGGTGGTACTTCTACCAGCATTAATGCCACAAGATTTCTGATTGCATACGTGGCACAATATCAAAATGTACAAAGAAAAGTTCAGGAAGAGTTGGATAGTATTGTAGGTAAAGGAAACTTTGCTACTACAAAACATTTGGATGATCTTTGTTACCTTCAAGCTACCCTTAAAGAAGTTTTGAGATTAAATCCACCATTTGTATCAGTTCTTCCACATGCTTCCACTGAAGATGATATCTATAAAGGTTATTTTATACCAAAAGATTCGACAATTTTGATTAATCTCATGGGGATTAGTCGTGACCCAGAATTCTTTTCTGATCCTGATGCTTTTATACCGGAACGTCATCTTGACGAAAATGGAATCCTAATAAAATATGATTTACATGATATAGTAAGTATTATCCTTAAATTTATGATAAACTATTGAGTTTAAAAAAAAATATTAAAAATATTTCATTATTTAATTTTTATTTATTGATTTATTACAAAAAAAAAAGTCGTTTGGTAAAGGTCGCAGAATGTGCATAGGAAGAGATTTAGCCGAAAGAAATATTCTAGTTATTATTTCTTCTATTTTATCTTTATTTAATATTGAATGTGAGATTGATGATAAAATCGGCGAAAAAATTGATATTAATTTAGAACCAATTGAGAATGGGTTTGAATTTATACCAAAAGATTATAAAGTCCGTTTTGTTAAAAGAAAATAATACAATACATTTTCGATTTCTTTTTTTTATTATTCAAACGTATCGTGTGAATGATTGTGTCGATGTTTAATTTGTAATATAAATCAAATAAATCGTTTCTAATACAAAAGATTAATAATGTAGAATTAACCTCAACAATAATAGTTTTTTTTTTGAAAAAGCTAAAGCCACAATAAAAGCGAATCAAAACGAACTTTAATTTCACGTGACTCGAGTGTCTGAACAACTTTACCCCATTATCATCACAAAAAAAATTATCCCTCCATTATTTTTTGGCCGGCATTATAGAACTTGGCCGAAATTAGCCATTTAACAAATAAGGTGACAAATAGGAATTTTCACATCGAAAAAATTATCTGTTCTTTATTTATCACAGATGTGGTATTAGAATAAGGTATATTAAGGATGTTGGATTAGGGTTAGTGCTTACACATTATACATATATAATCATATAACCTAAGCTTTTTTTGATGGTATTACTAATGGAGTTATTAGTACTACTTAAACCCATTGATTGGTATGTCAAGAAAATATATTTGAGATATATTTTAGTATAGAATAAATATATTCTTATTTTATGATTTATTTAAATAAATAACTAAATCTTTAAAAATATAAAAATGAATTAGATTTCAATTATGTTGAAATATTATAATACATACTATTTCAACATTAAAATATAAAAAATTTGAATCTAATTTGATGTAATATATTTCATTATTATATTATCTTAATGTCTAATTATTAGGAATAATTATACCCTTATTATTATATATACTTCTAAAATATATATTTTATTTAAAACATTTAAAAGCAATTTTTTATAAAAAAAAATTATAAATGACATATTTAGAAAGGCAAAGTATTTCTCAATTAATTTATTAATTTATTAATTAACTTAAAAATATTGATTATAAAATAAATATTTCTTATTTATATTATCAACATCAGAAATCAACCTTATTACACTAATCAATAGTAATCTATGAAATGAATAATTTCACTTTTTTTTATTATTTTTGTTATTTTTATTATATTTATTATATTACTTATATTTACTATATTTTATATACTTGTTATATCTTATCTATTAGCAGTTATAGTTACAAATTTAATTAGTTTATATTATAGCAATTAGTTAACTATAGCAAATTAATTTTGTATAAATAGAATAGCTTTTTGCTCAAGTTGTAAATCAACTTAATTGTCAGTTTAGAACTTAATTGCAGTTTTATAACTTTCTTATAATTTTATAATACTTACAAGTTTCAAGTAATAAAGAAATCAACTTTAAAATTCAATTACTTTTTCTTTTATATATCTATCATTTAGAATTTGATCATGAACTACTACACTAACTTGCTTTTGAGTTGTCACTTAGAATAAATAAATTCTTCTAAGTCCTTAAATCTTTAAATTTATAAAGTTAAGCAAAGTAATTCTAAGGCATTCTAAATATCTGTAAGATATGAGATCCCTTAAAGTTGTAAAGTCTAACAATAAGGAACTTACTTGCTATAGTAAAGTAACTTAGACAGAAACTTAGTAAGAAAATTATTTATAATAACAATATATTAGACTTTTTATTTTATTTATTAAATTTTAATTTATGTAATAAATTTTATTTTATTATATTAAGCTTATTATATATATTATTAATACTCTCTTATGAAATTTATATTTTTTAATTGCAAATTCCAATAATTTACCTGTAATATCTTTTTTGTATATACCGGGGGAGGATGAAAGTATTGCACAGTTTTGATTTAGATATTTTAGTTAATTTATCATATGTAATTAAGCCATATTTATTTGTAACGTATTGATTATCAATTACATAAATGAAATATTTTTATTATAGTTTGAATTAATATGTTGCAATTCGTTAAATCGAATTTGAAAATACTTC